ATAGATAGATATATATATAAATGGAGAATATGCAATAATCAATCTGATAAAATAGGATACCAGCAAATCGGGGCACTTTATTATACAGAGAAAAACTGATTTTTAGGCATAATTGTTTTTTTGGGGGGGCGGGGGGTATTATAAATGGGTACGTGTTATTCACTGGGTAATTATGGTAAGTCAGTTAATGTGGCAGAGGTGCTGGTAACTGTTTCCTCCCTCTCTGTACACATCAGTGCATACTGCATACAGACTGACCCGACTGAGCCTGTCCCTCACCCACGATTGGAGGCAGACAGCAGCCACTCCACCTAATGCCAATAACCGGTAACCTATTTGCAACTCTTGCTCCAAAAACTTCCCAGTAAGATAAAAGCCACCCAAGGCCTAGCAACACTCAGTCCTACTTATGGCAGGATGCTGCTGCAGAAATGAGTCATACGCCACAGCTCCTCCATGGACACCCCACCCCACCTCAGATGAGAAACTCTCTCCTCTGTTGGGGGAAGTGGCCTCCCACTGCATTCAACATATTTTGTCAGATCACCTATGGGTGCCAGCACCAATGCGGAGGGAGACGAGGTGATGACTGAGACGGGCTCGAGTGAGCATCAAACCCACGCATCATGTCACCCGAGGCCTCCACAGGGAACATCATGAATATTTAATGCCGCTGCAATATTTTCAGGGGAGCTGGAGGTTGTCATTAGCCCCTCCACCCTCCACCCCCAAACCCCCCGATCAGGAGAACTAATGTTCCCTCCTGAAGAAGGTGTCTGCTCAGCAACCCTTTTTCTTTCAGCTGCCCCACTTCCTTGTGTAAACGCTTCTTGCCTGAGAACACTAGACATAGATACACATGTTCGAGCAACAAAGGAAATATCAACATCCAAGTACTTAGCGTCTTGCTAAGTACAAACGCAATATATGCAGTGCAAAGAAATTCTACACTCTCATGTTGAACACTGACTTGGACAGATGATAAACCTGTGTATGAACTGCGAATCAAATGCGTTGGTAAGATTTGAACTTGACTCCTAGCTACTGGAGGGATCACTCAAATGAAATTCATCTCAAAAACAACAAACGCAGCCAATAAAAACTGCCTCGCCAGGACACCATCAAATCAACAGAGATGCTTCACAACAAACAGCACGAGCACTTTGCCAAATCTTAATTTAGGTCTCCAACATGAGCTTGACCCAAAAACTTTAATTACAATTTGAGCCTCTGCTGGGATTTTTCATGTAACCGTCGCATATTTAAGCACCTTGTTGCCCTCTTCTGATCAAAGTAAAAACTACAACTAGGGAGCCGTCAATGATGAACAATGTTACTTTGCTGTTTGAATGTTAATTCATTGTTTAGGCCAAAAATAACACCACAAATTGATGCTTGATTCTTTTTTTTTAACAAACCTAGACATGGAAAGGCCCGGCCAGTGTCTTTGACTTCTTTCATGCCTGAATCAGATCTTTAGATGGCACAAAATGACCTAGGTACGACCGAATGACTGCATTGTTAACCTCAACCTCTCCTCGCGCTGGACAACAAAGTAGTCCATAATACAAACAGAAATGAGTAAGAATGTTATTTTATTGTTATGGACCTTCATGTAAGACTGCCTTTTAGCCAGGTCACTCTTGGAAAAGAAGTTGTCATGGCCAGAGGTTTTTTTTTTTAATCTGGTTAAATAAAGGTCAAAAAGAAGAGGAGAAAGAAGTGATGAAAATGTTTATTTTACCTGCCGTTTGATAAAACTAGATGTTGTGTCCGAGGACGTGCTGCCATCCGAGCGTTTGAAGCGGCTCTTGCGTTTCGGCAACTTCCTGGGCAGCTGTGGATAAACAAAGGAACAGCAACACAGAGAACAGATCAATATTCCAATACTTATTGTGTCTTTGTAGCGTATTCAATTGTATATATCATCGTATTGTGTTTTTATTGACATTTTACAGAATATCCTAACTTCATTGGAATTGGGGTTCGCACAATAAAAAAGGGGTAGAAGCCCAGTGGACTGGCGAGCACATCTGCCGCACGTGTCTGGGGTTCAAGGTTTGAAACTTGGCGTCAGACTCCTTGTGTGGAGTTTGCATTTTCTCTCCATTCTTATATGGGTTTTCTCTGGCATCCACATTAAAAAAACGCAATATAGGTAAAGTGGAAACTCAATACAGCGCTGTATTGAGTATAAGTGTGAATGTGAGTGTGAACGTTTGTATGCCCTGGGACTGGTCTGGTGACCAGTCCAAGTTGTAGCCCACCTCTTGCCCAATTTCAGGTCAGGTGGGTTTGGCTTCTGCTCACTCGCGTCACATATGAGGGTAAATGCTAAAATGGATGGATTTCCACTCCTATCCATAACAACTTAAAAAATTGAATTGATCAAAAGTACATGCTGCTGCTTTAGTGCCAGGTTAACACTTATCACATAAACTGCATATTCAGTTAAAAAAGAAAAAAAAACTAACATTGCATTGGTTTTGAGATTTTGAGAATGATTTACACATTTTGATCACCTACGTAGACAATTTTAAACAATCAAAATCTCTCAGATAGCACGCGAATTTATGTTAACGTTAGCATTAAACCGTCAGTGTCTTTTTCACGATCAGTATCTGTTCCTAACACGAAACCTCGATCTCATCTTCAAACATGTTGTAGTAGCCCCTCCAAAAGAGCGGCTGAGTGGAAAAGAGCCGCTGTTTTCAAGAACTGCAGCTTTCCTCAAATCACAAATTAACACTGCAGGAGGATGCACTTCGCAGTTGTCTTAAATGAATATATCAGTAATCTTAAATGCTAAAGGCCCTGTACATTGAGGCTACAGGTGAAGGAGATTATCACAGTCGTGTTTGCGTTTCTGACTGCCGCAAAAGACGCAAAAATACAAGCAGCACCTGCATCAATACTGTCATTTTGTGTGGAAAGATGGCTATCACTATGACAGCGCCATTTAAATCCTTTTTTGTTTTTTGTTGTTGTTTTTTTTTTTTGTCGATCGAGCTTTAACTGTAGAGAAAAAGAAGAAAGAGAGTAGCCTATAAACCAAAACGCGACGCCTTCACTTTCACCCACACGATAACGACTCAACCCTTGGTCATCTTCAGTCCTCCGAACCTACCTGGAAATAGTGCGACTGTGGGCCGCTTTCCACAGTCGAGAGCGGGTCTACGGGCGGAGTGGACATGGTGACGGCGGGCACCGCGGAGCGTGAGCGGGGGCGAGGGGAGGAGGCGGGATGCACGCGGACATGGGTTACTGGAGGTGGGCAGAGGCAGGAGGCGACGGCAAACACATCGAATCAGGGATTCAAACAGCGCGTAGAAGCCACAATACAACGGCGATGCGATCGGTCAAAAAAACTACATAACCCAAAACGCGTGACAGTAGCAGCAGAACTGGGGAGGAGCTGTAATGATGAAGCGCCTTGGAGACTGAAGCTGAGGCTGCCTGCCTGCACAGGTCCGTACTAAGTGCCTCCTTGCCGGGGGTGTCCAAACTGGTTTAGATGGATGCAAAATGCCTCCACACGGCAATAAAGACAGACCGTTGTCAAAATTCCCCCTTTAAAATTAAATTGAAATTCGTGTAACTTGAATACATGTATTCGGATACTTAACAGAGAGTCTAAAAATTTGGGGGTTTGGCGAGGGGTCTCATATATGATTTGAGAGCATCTTTGCATGTCAGATACCAACACTGCCCTTCATAATTATTGGCACCCCTGGTTAAGCATCTAATAAACTCTGGTTTTGTCTAAAAAATATAGAACCAACATAAAAAAAGACAAACAAACAATAGGAAAATCCAACCTTAAATTGAAGTGCACTTAAAAAATATCTTACATTAATTTTATATATTACCATGTGTGCCACAATTATAGCACCCCCGAAGTTAATACTTTATACAACCTGCCCGCCCTCAAATGAGCACCTAATGTATAATGTTTCACAATATGGGAGAATACAGAAAGAGACATCGACAGCCATTCCTCTATACATAATCTCTCTAAATCAGAGGTCTCAAATTCATGGTCCCGGTGCCATTTGTGGCCTGCATGATATTTTGCAGCTACCTACTTGACATCAAAGTTGAATGTTAGTGTAGGCAGCGAAAGTCAGCAAAACAACAGCGAGTCACATAGATCAACATATACAGTACTGTACATGTACATTTCATCTTTATGTTTACTGTATTTTGTTATTTATACACAAACCTAACCTTACTTATACATCTTATACATAAAAAAAAAAAAAAAATCCCCGTCTCACCCCTGTGAAAAATCATTTTCTAGCCGCAGGGTTTTAAAAAATTAGGGCCTCAAAGAAATCCTTTTCGATAAAATCATGCATGTCGACAAAATTCCTTGGCTTCCAGCAATTGGGCAACCAATTGTCAACCCATTAAATAATTATGTTGTACAATATCACTTTTTTTTTTTTTTAATCCGTTAAACTATAGTAACACTCAAGGAAGACGTAGATTACATAAGGTAATTACGTGGGCGAGAATAAAGACGGAAAATGATCACATATATTCTTTTTTCATCCACTGGTATATGAAATTATAAATATGGTATTGTAAGTATTGTGAAAAAAATGTTTTAAAACACAGTATATATATATATATATATATATTAGTATATACCATTAAGTAATGTTAATTACTACAAACATTTAATACCATTAAATTTGGCCTTACAAATATTATACATACTCATACACATGTACATATACCTGTACGGGGAGGGGGTACCTACTTTGTGGATTTTCCTCTTTCGCGGGTGGTTCTGGTCCCCATTAACTGCGATAAGTGCGGGATCACTGTAGTTGTAGTAGGAGTAGTAATAGGAGTACATAGTAGTAGTAGTAGTCGTAGTAGCAGTGGCGGGCCGTGCATTTCAACCTTAGGCCTTTAGTGACGTCACATACATACACAATAACGGCTCGTCAAGCAGCACTTAATTTCAGGAGCATTTAAAACCATCAAGTATGTATTCCCAATTAAGAGCAGGAAACTACATTTACAGATATTGTCAAAAATAAAAAGATGATTTAAAAATACGAAATAAAATGCCACCCAAATTACGCTGTGTGATCTTAAACAAGTCTGTCCAATAAATTGCGCAATGTCGCAGTTTCATATAAGACACCAACCAAACAATAACAAAACAAACTATTCTTTGAAAATAAACAGATCATTTGCATTTTGAAAATCGGCGATACAACAGCAAATGTTGAGCAGCTGAGATTGAACGAACTTTCGTGCACGAAGGTGACTACAATGCGCCATTATAAATTGCAGGTGAGCAGATTTATTTGATACATTTTTGTATCTTTGTCATTTTATTTCGTTACCATGAATTTAATACTAACGAAATAAAATGACAAGAACAAATGTAAAATAAAATTCATTTATTCACCAATGTTGTGCCTGTTCACTGAGGTGCAGATCTACGAGAGTGTCCCCAAACGTTTTTAAAGGCACCGTAGCTTGTAAGTGCCCAGCCGTTTCCTTGCTGCCTTAGTAAAACAATCCAGTGTGGCTCCAAACACCAAATCGGTCAGTTGCAAGCAATAGGCATTCCCAGCAGTACAATTTGCAGCAGCATTTCACAGAGGCTGTGAGCCACGGGTGGCGTTCATAATTGCTCGTCTGAAAATGATACACAAACCCTTTTCCTTGCTGGGACAGGTTAGCTAGCGCAGGAGCTGGGCGACCTCTTCGCACGATATCCAGCTTTTGGTGGAAGGTCCGTCTTGAAAATTGTGGAAAGTAGTTCCGCAACCAGATCAACGTCTTCTCCTTCAGCCATTTTGGGTTAAAATGTGAGTGACAGCTCTAGCAGACGCGAATCCAATCTTTTTTATTTTTTTTTTAAATCTTTATTGAACAAGTCAGGATACAATTCTC